CTCAAGGACCGATGAGCAACAGAAGAAGAGAGTGTACAATGAAAGACTTCAGCTATTGTTCCAAGGGAACATGATTGCAGCCACGAAACGCAACAAGGCCAAGATTCGGTTGCAGTTCCTGGGTGTGAGAGTGAAGGACCCCGGCACGGAAGTTCTTGGATCAGCAGGTTCGAACAGGTTGGTATCGGTTCAGGACCAGATCACGGAGATCCAGAACAACGATCATTGCCGGCATGGCCAGAGATACCTGAACATTTGCAACGGCTGGGTGAAGCCATGGGCAGTTCGGGCTACAAGTGGCCACTCTGCGCACTCAGATCCCCAGAACAACTTGCTTCAGTTGGACAAGAACAGGTTCGCAATATCTCCATCTATGACCCTCTTGCAACGTCTTGGAGGTGCGTTCCACGCTACGGCATGCCGCAACTTGGATTCCATTGTCACGCAAGGCATCATGCCTGGTTCGGAGGACCCCGACGGGGACTTCGACCATAGGCGCCAATTCCGAGGCAACCAAGGTGGCAGACTCCACAGCTATTGGGGGGTGTTTGCGCCGTTCGATCACCGGAACGCAACGACCAAGATGCGAGTACATGGACGAGACGCCAAGCACATGCCATTGGCGGTCCTTCATGTCCCATCGCAGGACCTTGCACGAGAGGATGGACGTATCACAGACAGCGGCATCATGATCGTTGGCCGAACGATACCTTTCCATTTCGTCAAGGAGGTATGGTTTTGCGTCCCGGATCCTCGAGATACACACTCTTTCGCTCTGGTGGAAAAGATCTACGATGAACGGTTGGAGAAAGAGCTGGTGTTGGACTACAATGCATCACCGTTGCTTCCTGAGTTCGAGAGATACCGAACGCCAAGCAAGATCATGGAATTGCTTTGCGAGATGCCTCCTGGACCCCACGACACAAGCAAGGAGCAGATCATTCGAGACCTCACGACTGTCCTGGAGTCCCACAGGGAGAACACGGTTCGGCATCACTACATGGACAAAGGAATCAAGTTTGTCATCAAGAATTGGCGACCCGAAGACCTACGCAGAGACGAGGATGGACGGAGAATGAGGGTATGCCCGGCATGCTACAACATCGTTCCAGCATGTTTCTCCCGATGCACGTCTTGCTGGTCACAGTTCGTTTCGAGCGGATATTACCAAGGTTCTCCACAACGGGAGACTCCTACGGAGATCCCCAGTGACTTCATTGCTCAGACAATGGAAGCCGCAGCAGCCGCAGTGCCTGAGGCGCCCGAAGAGGAGCAGGAAGCCATGGAGGTAGAGACCGTTGCGGAACCTGAGGAAATCCCAGAACCATCTGTCATCGCGGAGGACGATCCAGAACAGGAACCTGATGAAGAAATGGACATAGAGCCAGGAGAGGACTTTGATGACGCAGTACCAGAAGCAATTGCACAGGAACGTCGTCCCGTCTTCGTTACCGGCCAGTCTTTGAACATCGATCCTGAGCTACAACTTGCACGTACCGCCATGCAGCCATCCTACTATTCTGGAAAGCGAAATGCCCATTGCATTGACGCGAACATGACCGCTCTTTCGTACATGGCATACGTGGTATGCAGATCCATCTACAAGGCTTGGTCAGGATTCGCAAAGTGGGCGACTATGCCGTTGTTTCAGATGAGGGAAAGTTTCGCACTTGGCCAACGCTATGATGTGCTCGGAAAGTGGGGATCTTTGGCGGCAGTGGATAGGGAAACGGGTGTGAGCAAGGATGTGACTGATGAGGAGATCATTCGCTTTGCCAAGGAGCCTGAGAACCTCAAGCAGTATGATCCCAACGGGACTTACACCTTAAAGCGCTTCCGGACGAACCAGATGCTCTCGTTGCTTACACGGGGAGCCAACATGATGCCCTGCCGGGCTTGCCCGGCGGCGCTGTTTAGAGTAAACGTTTTGGGTGGGCGGGGCGGGGTGTCTCTGTGGGTAGGAGGAGTTCCCTCGACTGGACCAACTCGAAGATCTCCGCAGTTTCAAAGAGAAAAGTTTTATTGAGCAGTTTTGAGTTTCTATTTTATTTACGTATCGTGCGCTTTTCAGAATGGAGCCAGAAGCTGAGTGCGCGCACAATCTCAATGCTTATCATGGACGCAGAGCTCAGGCTCAGGAGCAGGGAAAATTTTGATTGTATGGGGCTAGCATTCACAAGCATCGTTGTGACGCATGACTGGACAGTTTAGCTTCACGGTAGCTCCATACTTTAGGACTACGAAAGCGGTAGAAGGGTGGCCCTGCGGCCCATGGTCGGCCATGAGTGGCACAGGACTCGGATGGCCCGCTTTAGTGCCACCATACCGCAACCGCCTTGAAGAGTGGTTTAGCACGCCTGAGAAATTGCATGCCTCATTCGACACGAGGGAAGAGCTTGTATCATTGCTTAGGGCTTGCGATAACACGCTTCTTGAAAGTAGCCTGCAGTTGATTGCGGATGCACTTCTTGAATGGCATGCAGACAATGCTCGCACAGTTGCGAGTGGGCGCAGGGAATCAAGGAGGCGCTTGACAGAGTGCTTGCCCAGTGTCCCGGGAACTGGCCTTAGCTTGCATGAGCATTACAATCAGATTGCACTTCAGAGTCCACTTGCGTTGCTTCCGGTTCTTCGCAAGCGGAAGTTAGCTACTGATAGGGTCGTAGATCGCGGTGCCAGGGCCACTGAGGAGATACGGCTTCGGCAGGAGTATGCATTGCGTCTTGCAGCCATCATGCAGGAGGCGCAACTGCCGGTGTGCAAGGTGCTTGCAGGGGTCAGCAATGCCGAGGAAGCCTGGCCACGGCTGTTCGGGACCCGTCGATCCAAGACATTGAGAAATCGCTTTAGAGCTTGGGACAAGTTTCGGGAATGGTTGCTTTATAGCCGTGGCAGGAGCTATCCGGAAGGGGTAGCTGATGTGCTAGATTATGCCAATGAACGATTCCAGGAAGGATGTGGAAAGACAGTTCTCGAAAGCCTGCAAGCCTCTCTCAGTGTAATTGAAGGTGTAGGGCGCGTGCCGTCTACGCAGCAGATATCTCAGGATCCCACATGGCAGGCGCAGCTCAAAAGTTACACAGCCGATTTGGTTTCGGCGGCACCGCCGGAGCAGCCAGCCAGCATGCTCACTGTTGCTATCGTTCTTGCATGTGAGATCTTCGTTTGCACGCCCGGGGAGCCTAGTTACTTGAGAGCATTGGGCTTTGTCTGCTTATTGATGGTTTGGGGATCGCTTCGGGCTGATGATGTTCAGGGGCTCTTGCCGCAGACCATGCTTCTGGACGAGCGAGGGCTTAGCATTGATCTCGCGCGGTCCAAGACTACAGGGCCCGACAAAAGGACCCACACCGTCAAGGTCTTCGTGGAACGGAGTATCTCTCTGACAGGGCATGATTGGCTGAAGGTCGGATATGCACTTTGGAAGGATTTCGATTTTGAGAGGGATTATCTGGTTTTGAAGGCCAATGAAGGTTTCACGGAACCCCTGGAGAAGTCGGTGCCTTCCTCCACGGTGGCCCTTTACTTCCGCAAAGTTCTCAGTGAGTTGAAAACGCCCAAGCGTGAGGGGCGCACCTGGAAGGCCAATGATCAGCGTCCGCTGCTCCCGGGATACACTTCCAGTCATTTTACGGGACATTCTGCGAGGAACTTCCTTAGCTCGGTCGGAGCGGCCATCGATGTCGACCCCAGGGAGCTTGATTATCTGGGTCGCTGGAAGGTAGGTGGCGAAGGTTCTGCAACCTACATTCGCACTTCTAGGCAGGTTGTGCATCGTCTCCAGAGTCACATTGCTTGTTCCCTTGTCACCGGACAGCCAAAGCACTACATCGAGGTGGATTCCATCAAGGCTTTGACGGACTATGCAGCTAAGGCGGGGGAGAGCGAGTCTCAGGTTCGTCGCCGTCACACCCTCCTCGAGGGATCCAAAGGCTTGGGCGGGTCGTGGCCAACTCTGGCATTGGAAGTGGGTGTTGCGGCACCACCTTCTCCAGTCGAGCAGGTTTCGATGCCAGGCAGCCGGGGGGATTACTTCATCGTTACCTCTCGCACCACAGGCCTGAGGCGTCTGCACATGTTGGGCTGCTATGTCAAGCCTGAGAATTGTTATGATGTGAAATTTGTCAGTCATGTCGGCGCGGAGGACGTCGATAACATTTGCAAAGATTGCAAAGCAAGAATGAAGGCTCAGGCCGGAGAGGAGGAATCAGACCCCTCCATCAGTGACAGTGGGAGCGAGTCGATGTGAAGGCAAAAGATGCTTTCGACTGCTGTGGATAGGCTGTGCCCTGCAAGTCCTAGCCAGAAGTTGGCATGAGTTGCTTATGCAAGGGCGCCTTGAAGTAGATCCACGATAACAGTCCATGCTGGTTTTTTTTTCTCAGGGCATCTTGAAGTTGTTTCGCGATAACAGTTCATGCTGATTAAGTGCACGTGCTGGCGCTGTTCAAGCAGGAGGAAGTCTCACTCGGCGCAGGCCGTGAGGTGCCGGCGGATTCCGCATCCTGTCACAGGCCTCAGGGCGACGGGTGGACACATCGCAGTGCAGCTAAAGGCCTCAGGGCGGCTAGCAATCCAAGTCCTACAGGGCCACAGGCCGGGCGCGGCCTTCGCATCAGGAGTAGCGGGAGTTAGTTACTGTTGTCGCAATGGCCGCCACAGATGCCGAGAAGCGCGAGCTCATAACCAAAGCAGATAGCGATTTGCAGTTTGTGCTCGGAGAAGCTGGCTTGTCTCTGGATGCCCAGTATCGCATTGTGCAACGACACACAACACTTAGGCGATTCCAGGCAATCGCCGATTCCCGGCCGGAAGCTCGGGCTGCTGGGAAGGCGGACTTTGGTCTTGATGATGGGGCTGCTGATGGGCGACAACAAATCGCGGGGGTCGTCGCTGCATGGGAACTTGCACGCGACGTAATCAGCAAAGAGACGGAAACACGAGCAGAGGCGAAAGTGTTAGGCCAGCCGCGAATCTTGCAAGTCACAGAGAGGCAAGCAATGCTCAAGGCGGTAGCGGCCGTTCACGGGCAGCTGGGAGAGTCGGAGACTCCATCGTCTGAGTACCTCGCTCTCAAGTGCGAGGAGTGCGAAGCCAATGAGCCTCAGGCTTCAACCTTGGATGCCATAACTTCGAAGAAGAACACGCTCACCACGAGCATCCAGTCCAGCCTTGACGCTTCGGGGCGAATTCATATTACTCAGCACAAATCCAAGAGCGAGCTCCCGACTACTACAGAAGCTTATCGCAAGGTCCTTCGCGTGGAAGCTTTCACGTGGCTATGCATGGCATCCCGCTTTAAATCCAAGCAGTGGCTTCAGGATCTTAAGCTGTCTGACTTCGACCACTTCGTGAACTACATCCTTGGCGAAAAGGTCGCTCAGCTCTCAGTGCCTACGTCTCATCAGCCAGCCGATGTGCCTTCACTTTCGCCACCTTGGGAAGTAGTCTTGGCCTATGAGCACCGGTTGCGCAAGGAGGCTGTCCGTCTGGTCAATGATCAGGGTTATACTCTGGCAGGCGCTCTGGCTTCAGTCATTTCTTCAGCGGAGCTTAAGGAGACCTACTTCACGACGCCGCTCGCCTTGTCCATCATTGAGCGACCACGCAAGTGGCACAAAGGCAAGGGCAAGGGCAAGGATGGCAAGGACGGAGGCAAGACAGGAAAGGGCGGCAAGGGCAAAGACTCCAAGGGGGGCAAGAACGGCAAAAGCGGACCCGGCTCTTAAGGGCCTTCAGTTGGTTTGGCGCACGCCGGAGGGCCGCGACATTTGCTTTGCATTCAACTCGCAGGGCTGCACCAATCCTTCATGCGAACGCTTGCATGTGTGCCGGGTCAAGGGCTGTTATCAGCCCCACTCAGCGACCGAGCATAAGCTTAAGACCAGCAAGCCCAAGGAGTGACTATCGCATGATTCGGTTTCTACCATTGAGACATCAGATCACATCGCCTACCAGCCTCAGCTGTACAGTCCGAGCGGGCTTCGTGTGCTCTACATTTTCGCGGGGCCCCATCGCAAAGGTGATGTGGGCTCTTACCTTCAGTCATTGGGCAATGTCACTAATCTTCTTCAGTTCGATCTTCAGCGCTCCACGGAGCATGACTTGACTAAGGAAGGCTTGTGGCAGCACATCTTTCAATTGCTTGGCGAAGGGGATTGGATCCTCATTGCCTCTCCTCCTTGTGAGACATTTTCCAGAGTCCGGCATCGCCACCCCGGGCCAAAGCCACTACGTTCAGCATTTTATCCTAGAGGTTTTCCATGGTTAAGCAATTTGCACGCGCAGCAGGTGGAGCAGGCTAATTATTTTCTTGATCAGACCGTGACGGCATGTCAACTTGCATGGCAGTATGTCCTGGAGCACCCGGAGGATCTCGGCGCAACGCCGGATCACGAGTTACCGGCTTCCATCTGGCAGCTACCAGCTCTGCGTGAGCTCCAGGTTTCCACTCAGGCCATCACTTTTGCTTTCTTTCAATGCAGCTTTGAGGCTCCCACTTCCAAACCCACACGCCTTCTCACTAATCTACGGGCCTTTGTCGAGCAGCCTCCGCCTTTTGCTTCATGGCCACGCTTCGACTCCAGTGATCGCTACGTGGGGCCGTTGCCGCCACGCTGCCCGCACGGGAAACATGACAAAGTACTTGCAGGCCGAGAAGGCTCCCGCTGGGCGACCGAGTCATCAGCAGTCTATCCTCCTCTGTTGTGTGAGTGGCTTACGCATGCTGTGCTTGCTTCCGCTTCGCAGGGGGGACTTGGGTCAGCGCCGCACAGCTCCGTTCCAGGTGAGGCAGGTCCAATGCAGGAATCCCACGAGGCAACGCAGGAGGTGCATCAGGATTTATGTGAAGTGCCGCAGGGGCTGCACCAGGTGGTTTCCGATAGGGTAGAGGCGGTTACTGATAGGGTAGAGGCGGTTGGCTTGATCGAGTCGGAAGCACCTCCTTCCACTTTGTTGCCGTCGCCAGACTCTTCGGGGCCAGACTCTTCGGGGCAACCGCAGCCGAAGGCAGCACCTAGGGGGGTTAAGAAACAAGTTGAAGCCGAGGAGTTCGCACGCATCGTTTCTTCATCGAGAGCCCCGACTCGGGCCGAGGTCCATGCTCTCTTCAAACTGCTGCCGCATGAGACTCCGCCTAGGTCGGCGGTGTCCTCTAATTGGGTTCCTAGCAGTTTTTCGACAGGCTTGTACCGGAAGGGTGGAGGCCTGATCGGGCTCAGGTCCGCGTGCAAAGGCTTCCCGGCTTCCACAGAAGCTTTGGCATCCTTCGTGCGTAGCAACATGCCCGGGGACGTAAAGGATTAGCCTTTACCTTAACACTGGCACCAAGCCCCACAAAGACTCCAGGAACGCACCTTTGCCCAATGGGATAATAGGGGTTACTGACTTCGTAGGAGGAGAGATCTGGGTCGAGGCCCAGGATGGGGAGTCTGTTCAGATTGTTGACGGTAAGCGCTTAAGTGGTCACCTTCTTCCGATCAGTGAGACACCCACCTACATACATGCCTACCGCGATCTTCACCTCACAATGCCCTGGAAAGGTAAGAGATTAGTCATCATAGCTTTCAGTGTATCGGAGCATACTCAGGCATGCGATGAGGATCTCGCGTTTCTTCGCGGGCATGGTTTCGTCCTTCCGGGCGAAGAGCACAGTGTTGATCTTGAGGCGGTCCAGTCAGATGATTCGGAGGTGCTGGAGGGGGGTGAGGTCGAAAGGCCGGAGCCCTTCAAGCATCAGGAGTGCCACAACATCGGGCTGCCTTTGAACCTCGAGTGGGATGGCAAAACTCAGCCGATCACGGATGGCTTTGGACTCTGCTCACCCACTAGATGGCCTCCGGAAGCCAGGGGGGGCCTGCTGCCCAAGCAGGCTTTGGAGTTCGCCACTGCCATGCATCAAGTGCTTCGAGACTTTGTAGCGGACGTTGTGCCTGATATCAAGCGCACGGCGATGGAGCTTGCGCTAGGCCGCCTTAAGGAATCGCCTTTCACTCCCGAGATGTTAGGGGTCCTTAGGAAGGATTGGTTTAGTTGCATAGAGGTTGCTTCGGGAGGCAAGTGTACGGATCTTGATGTGGTGCCGAGTGGCCAGCCATTCTTCTTGCATGCTGTGTCTGCGACGGCTCGGCTGTTGCAGGACCCAGATTGGAAAGCCGTTTCTTGCCAGGAGGACTCCTATGTCAGCGGGGTCGCGATCGGTTATGACTGCCCCGCGCCTCACTTGCCACAGGTGTACGAGTACAAACACAAGTCCCGCAAGCTCGATGAATCGGATGCCGAGTGGCATCGCGAGAACTATTCGTCGGCAAACGAAACATCGGATCAGCTTGAGAAGAAGTTTGCAGAGGAAGAGGCTCTTGGGCGCATGGCGCCTTCCACGTTGCCGGTTCTTGAGCAAAAGTACGGGCGGGATAGGGTTAGGATAGCTTCTTTAGGTTCCTTGATTAAACCAGACGGTTCCGCTCGGCCATTACACGATGGCACCCACGGTGTGCATGTCAACAATGGTATTAGGCTACTTAATCAGCAATCCAATCCCGGACCCCAGGAGGTAGTTCACCTTGTGCGCAGCGCAAAGCAAAGTCAGGAGGCCACCTTTTGCCTCACCGGCGATGTGACGGCGGCTCACAGGTTGTTCCTTGTCAGAGAGGCCGACTGGCCTTTGTTGTGCTGTAAGGTGCGCAACGACACGCCGGTCGTTTGGTACAACAAAGTAGGAACGTTCGGTATATCATCATCCGCCTTCCTTTGGTCCAGATTGTTTGGAATCATCGGCCGCTGCACCGCGCGCTTTCTTTTGACATTGTGGTTCTATCACCTCGTCTTCGTAGATGATGTTCACGCCAACTTCGCAGGAAGGGAGAAATTTCATCATTTGCTCATGTGGCTAGCATGCTTCGAGATGTTTGGCACACCTTTCGCATACAAGAAGTTCCGCGGTGGGCTCACTTCGGCTTTTGTGGGTTACGAACTTTCTTATCCAGACCAGAGGGTCGGAATTTCCGAATCGCGGGGCCAGTGGCTCTTGAAATGGATCGCTGAGGCTCGGTCCTCGAAGTTTGTTGTTTCGGTTCGCAGGTTTGCTGAGTTCTTAGGGAGGCTGGGCTTCGTCGCTCGGCTTTTGGTTTGGCTTAAGGCACACCTTGCACCGCTTTACAGCTGGAGGGCAGCGGTGAACGACAGTTCAGTCGCTCGGATGCCCGACACCGTCATCCTTACTCTTGAATATCTTGACCTCACGTTCAGGGACATGACGTTCAAGGTCGCCGCAGCAAGATCAGTCAAAAGAGAAGGCGTGGCCTTCCGCACTGATGCAAAGTGCGCGGACGGGTACGTGGTCCTTGGGGGTTGGGATTGCGCAGGCACAACTCAGGAGTCCAGATGGTTCTCACTTCGACTTACTCCCTCAGAGGCCCCTTACCTCTTCGACTCAGAAGGTCACAGTCAGTGGGCTTCGGCATCGGCTGAATTGCTGGCCACGCTGGCTGCCCTGCACATCTTCGGTCACCTTGAAGCCGGGCCAACTAGGCGTTTGATGAAGGTTGAGGTTCTAGCTCAGACGGATAATAAGTCTAACGAGGGCTTGACTCGCAAGGGTTCTACAACGCGCTGGCCCTTGCTCATGGTTAACATGCAGCTCACCCATGTTCTCATGAAGGCCGGCTTGCGGTTGAACTTGGGATGGCGTCCACGGGACGAAAATCAGGAGGCCGATGATTTAACCAACGAAATCTTCGACCGTTTCTCTGAGGAGTTGCGGGTCCCAGTGCAGTACTCCGAATTGCCGCTTTCCTTTCTTCACACTCTTTACGAAGCCAGGCGTGCACAGCTGAGCAGCCGTGAAGTGGATTCCATCCGCGACACGGTCGGTGGCAGGCCACGCTTCAGAGGCAAGAGAAAGAGAGAGAAGTCTCCTTGGTGACGTGCCGGCCTGCGGAAGGGGGGGCACAGGCACACAGGTGCGCCTTCCCGACACGTCAAAGACCTGTTCAAGAATTAGATGCCTGCGTGAGCCTGCCGCCATCCGTTTGAAAACATCCTGCGTGCTCCTTTCGGCAGTTGCTATCTCTTTAGATATTCATCATTAAGTGGCGAGGATACATTTGATTGGAGTCCCAAGAGGCGAAAGCAAGATATGAGAATTTATACCCCATATATTCTCCGGGGATACCGTCGGTGCATTTATACCTTCGCCGATATTTCCGTTTGCCCAATATACCTTTGGGCAATAAAATTTCTGATGAGGGAACTGAGTTTCGTAAACTTCGCTCACAGCGCCCTTCCTAAACACAACGGTTACGGAGAACAGGGGAATTGGCAGGGACAACTTCAACCCTACTACTTACTTGAAGAGCGAAAGGGATGAAGATGTGAAGGCTATGCACTTTTGTTGCCTGAACGTCCTGTGCGAGGTGATTCCAATGGTGACGGGACACCAACAATTCTCAGTGCTACGACCAACGCCAACTGGACCGGTGGACTTCTTGTACATCGACCCCGTCGGTATCCTGCTGACTCATTCTGATCAGTCAGTCCAGACCATCGGCTTGCTGGTGGACCACAGTGTGCAAATGCCTGCGCATTTTATGGACAGATTGAACAGATCCAAGGCTGAGAGACAGCAAAACCCGACGACCAAACGTACTGAAGCCCTACACCACATTTCGGCCGCTGATTATCTCCCTCCAGGTGGTACATCCATCCTGGACACGCCTGTCACTACGGAGGAACGTGAAAGCGCTTCTTCGTCCAAGGGACCTTCAAAAGGGCGTGGGAGAACCGGAGGTGAGCAACATGGAGGTTGGAACTCCAATTCCTACTACGACTACACCGCCGGCAAAGGCCGAAACAAAGGCAAGGACAAGGGAAAGCATCGGGAACAGTATCCAGAGGAAAACCTCCGGCCCTGGGACCGCGATCCTGCGACCACGCGAAGATGGAGATGAATCAACGCTTGGTCTTCCTCGCCTATCAGTTCGTGACCTCTGAGCTTCGCCCGTGGAATGCCATCGCGAATGCTTCTTTCTTCGGTGACGCCTGATTCGTTTGTCATTTCAGGGGATCGTTACTGACGTAGATGAGTGTCACAACGTTTCTAATTGGGATGCAAAGCTCTGATTTTCAATGTCAACGTTGCGGCGGAACATTTTCTGTTGTCCTATCGTGCCATCTTCCGGGTGAGCAGCGTCGGAGACGCAACTCATGGGGGGTGCGAACGGACTGCGATGCCTTGTCAAGTTCTAAGGTGTCACTATAAGAGCTGTGAGCAAGACCGTGTAAAGTGCAAGAGAAGGGGGCACGCTACGCGTCCCTCGACTCTAGGGGGCATGCTACGCATCCCTCGTCTTTACCTTTCTATGTGACCGCCAACGCAACGTTTGGCTCAAGTCAATGCCCATAGCTAAGTGCTATATGTGTCTTCTATCCTGAGCAATCAGAGCTATCCCGTTGCACAGACGAACCGCCGCCGGCAGTGAGTGCAAAAGGAACGGCCGCCGGTTCTGCCTGCATAGGATCGCACGTGTGGAAGTAAGAGGGAGAGACAGGGTCCAGTCTGTGGAGAGTGCTAGCCAGCCACACCTACATTCATTACAGCTCTGGTGGGGAGAGCAGCAACCAAGTCGAGATCAATCCCCCACGCATCAAGGAACCAAAAGTCAGTTAGCTTGAGCAGTGGTGAAGCAGAGTACTACGCAGGAGCTAGCGCGGCATCTGATTCTATATTGTTGAAGGAAGCAGTTGAATTCTTGACAAGGAAAATTTGCAAGGTACATTTGTACATGGACTCTTCAGCAGCTAGAGGCATCATTACAAGGCAAGGTGTAGGAAGAGTGAAGCACCTCCAGATCAGGACCCTTTTTCTACAGGACCTCCACAAGCAAGGAACAACCAGTGTTCACCCTGTAGGAACCAAGGAAAATACAGCCGACATAGGAACCAAGCCCCTTTCAGCGAAGCGTATTAGACTGTTGTTGCACTGGTTAGGTTTTCAAACCGGAGAGAACGAACCAGTAGGCCGAGAAGAACTCAAGGAACACAAGGCCCAAACACAAGCCAAAGCAGTTGTAAGGATGATCAAGAGCCCAGGAACTTTGTCGTTTGCAGCGTTGTTGTTGGCAGGGATTTCAGGAATTTCAGACAGTCTTCAGATTCAGAGTTGCAAGGAACAGAGTTTTGAAAGTTGTTTTCTTCAGGAAGAGTTTCAGACAGAGTTTCAGGAACACGGTTTCTGTCTTGCAAGTGCATGTGCACAGGACGGCATATGCAGTGACACGAGTGCATGTGAGCTAGGAACGTTTGCAGGAACAACGCATGAAACCTCATGTTTTGAGATGCTTTCACAGCTCAAGGAGTTCTGCGAAACACTCGCGGAACGCTCAGGCGTACAAGGAATAGTCAAGCCAGTAGCAGAAGGTCAAGGAACCTTAGCCATGGAAGCCAGCGCGAGTTCTGCAAGAAGCGAGAGTGAAGTTCTCAAGGAACTTGAAGCGCTAAAGGAAGCCGCCACAGAACTCAGGAAAGCCAGCGCAGAAAGGAACGAGATCGCAGAGTCGATCAGGAAGAACACAGAAGAGTCGACGCGGTTGCGTCGATCCCAGGAACATGTGGCTGGTTGCGTGAAGTCCCTGACGGGACAAATCCAGGACGTCAAGTTTCAGGTCCAGGAGATGGCCGAGCAGAACGAAAGAGAACGCACAGAAGCCAAGGAACGCATGGCTTATGTCTTCGAGACGTGCGACAGCTTGAAAGAGCAGGTGCAGACGCTTGTGAACGACTTCTACGAGCAAGAAGAGGAACAGGAAGAAGAGCAAAGAGAAAGAGAAGCCAAGGACAGAGAAGCAGAAGGAGAACTACGTCGTGAAGGACACGGACCAGGTACAGCACCTTCGAGAGCTACGTCACCTACCTCCCAGGAACACAAAGGAGAAGACGATGTAAGGAACTGGTCAGACAGGAGCTACTTCGAAAAACTTCAAGAACAGGAAGAAAGTCAGGACTACTTCGGCGAGAACGAGAACGAGGCCTACGTGGACAGCTACGTTGGAGGAGATCCCGGGGAGTACCCCGAAGGAGAAAAGGAAGCAGAGGCAACAGGAGAAGCAACAGCAGAAGAGGAACAAGACGAAGAGACAAAGGAAGAAGCAAGGAGACAAAAGATCAAGGAGATCAACGCCAAGAGCAAGGAAAGGCTTGAGGAGAAAGAGAAGGAAAAGAAACTCTTTCCGTACCCCTACGACTACAGCAGCGAGTGGAAGGAATACTCCGAGAACGGCAACATCTACAGAGAGCACAGAGTTACAGGAGAAAAGCAGTACGTGGACAAGGACTACACGTACAAGCACGAGAAAGGAACAAAAGGAAAGGAGAAAGGAGCAAAAGCAGGCAAAGGAAGAGGAAAGCCAAAGAGCGAGCAGAAAGCACAGGATTTCGATCCCGAGATGACGATGATCGCAAATACTGGGAAGAACAGGACAGGATCTCAAAGGAACAGCAAGAGGCAAAAGCGGCAGCAGAGGAGAAGAAGAAGGCAACAGAGGAGCAGATTGCCAAAGCAAGGCTGATCATGGAAGCGGCAGCAGAAGAGCAGGAGAAGAGAGACAAGGAAGCAGCAAGGCAGGAAGCAGCCGCAGCCGCCGAGAGAAGGCGAGAGGTAGAAGCAGCAGCCAAGGCAAAAGCAGAAAGAGAGGCAAAGGAAAAGGAGGAGACTGAAGCAGCAGCAGCCAAAGCAGAGAAGGAGAGAGAAGAGGAAGCAGACGCAGCAGCCAAAGAGGAGAAGGAAAGAAAGGAACAGGAGAAGAAGAGAAAGGAGAAGGAAGCCAGGAAGAAAAGAGAGGAAGATAAGAAGGAGGCATCGGCATACATTGCCCGAAAGGAAGCAGAAAAGAAGGCAGCAGCAGCAGGAACAACGTCAGGATCAGGAGAAGTGGAACCGAGACGTGAAGAAGACAGGATGAAGAAGCTGGAACAGATGATGGAGGAGATGATGAAGGAACGTAAGGAGGATAAGGAAAGGATTGCAAGCCTCACACAGGAGCTTGAGAGCAGAGGATCGGCAGCCGGGTCGCAGGCACCCACAGAGCCAGACACAACACCAACAAAGGAGCAGGAGAAGCCAGAAGGAAAAGGAAAAGGAAGAGAAGAAGGAAAGGAGCCACCAAGCGTAACACAGCACAAGCAGAAGAAGGAAGACAAGGACGACCCAGAACTTTCCGCCAAAGGACCAGTGAACGAAGCGTCGTACTTGAAAGGAAAAGGCCGTGGAGAGTTTGAAGGAAACTGGTTTGCGGTCTACGGTTTCCAAGGCAGGAACTACCAGTGGAAGTGGAACGAAGAGAAGGAAAAGTGGTACTGGTATTCAGGATCAAAGGAAACTGGTTGGAAAGCAGCGTCAAAGGACAAGCAAGGAAAGGAAAAGTGCAAGTCGCAGGCAAAGCAACGTGAAGAGTGGCTAAAGGCACAACTTGAGGAGCAGCAGGAAGTCACCAAGGACAGCGAAGAAGAAGAAGGAAGCAAAGCAGTGAACTTCCAGTGAAGCAAAGGAACAGCGAGCAGTACTGAGGCCAGAGAGCCGAGGAAAGAGCAGTGAAGCAGGACACACACAGGAACCGTGGCACAGCCCTTTTTGTTTCTGTGGTGATCTAAGTAAGTTCAGGAACAGTCTTGTACAGTCTAGCAACTTTGGAGAGGATTGCGAGTGAACGGAAACGTTTGCGAAAGAGGAACAGAGTTTGTTTTGTAGTGAAAAGGAACTGCAGCGTGTTTACTGTCTGTTCAGGAAAAGTCGGAGTCACCTCAGTCGAGGAACTTTCGCTAACTCCGAAGGCGGGGTGTTAAACATCTTGCCAGGAACAGTAACACCGCTAATGCAGTGTAGCTAATGTGAAGGAACAGCCGTCACGCACACGCGACGTGAAGGCTCGAGACCCCGGACACACGTGCCCAGGAAAGCAAAAGTGTCCGACAGTCTGTGAGGGTAGGAACCCTTAGTGGAGCCCGTTCTTTAACATGGAGACTAACTCCCTCATTTCACCAGGCCATGATGGGAATGCCTCAGTATGCTTACATAGCACACCGAAGCACACTCGAAGCAATCTCGCGGGTTGCGGAGCATTGTGCTATGGTCCGCACTCTTGTTCGCAAGCAGGCCCTCACCATCTGGGACAAGTATCAGGGCGCTGTACGCTCCCCCTGTGTGGGGGGGGCTCAACTTAGCATTGATCTGTCGAAAGCATTCGACTTGCTCCCGCGGCAGGTTTTGCATGAGATCCTACAAAGCACAGATCTGCAGCCCGAGGAACGGCAGATCTTGTTAGATTGGCACCAGCTTGGCAAATACCGCATCAAAAGCCGTGGAAGCGCAAGCGAGGCTTACGTGGACATCAAGTGCGGAGTGCGTCAAGGATGCGTGTTGTCACCCACTTTGTGGGGGTTGTTTACCCGAGTCATCCAGCAACACCTTGATCAGGAGTTGGGGGTGCAATGGACAGCACAAAAAGGCACATTCTTCGCAGATGATATGCACTTTAAGTGGTTTTTCAAAGCTGTGGCTGAACTGCATCAGGTACGCACCGAGGTGCTTTGTATTTTCCGGGTGCTGCGCTCTCTTGGCATGAAGGCCAATGCTGAGAAGAGCAAATTCATCATTTCTGCCCGGGGACAGCAGGCCAGCAAGTGGATGAAACGCTGGATCCGCAAAGACACGGAAGGCGTTAAGCACCTCTTCTTCGGAGGCGCCAAAACCGATAAAATCCCCGTGGCGACCCACTTTACATACCTAGGCGTAGTCCTTTCCTACAACAACTTCGAACTTGCTACGGTCAGGCATAGAATCGGAGTAGCAGCTGGCCATCGGGAACGGCTGCGAAAAGTTTTGCGTGCACATCGGGTTCTTAGTGTAGGGCATCGGCTTCGCTTATGGCGCATCATGATACAGACCTCGCAACTCTATGCCATAGAAGCTGTTGGCCTCACTGCAGAGGCGGCCAAGCTTCTCCACGTACAGACCATGAGGCACCTTCGGGCCATTATCGGCTCGGCTCGGCATGTTGACGGCGATTCAGATCAGCTTTTCATGCTCAAAAACCATTTGCCTGATTGCGTGGAGCTAGTGCGAGCTCGCTGTGACACTCTTTGCGATAGACTGGCCGGCACCCCGCCAGAAGTGCCCTGTTATGATGCCGCGGCAATTTTGCAGTGGGCCACCCAGGTTCGTGATTCACTTCCTGAGCCATATGTGGCCAAGAGCCGGAAGCCGTTACCACGGCCAGTGTCTCAACCACCAGCAGATCCATCAAGCACAGCTGCAGGCCCGGCGACCCACCTGAACAACACAGTGGAGACTGCTCCGCCGCCTAGGTCTGGGCCCGACCTAGCTGACCCCTCTGTGGACAGGGATGCTGAGTTGAGCTTACAAGCAAACCCGACCGCGACATCCACATTTGTGTGCTCCCAGTGTTCCCAGGTCTTTCCCAACCTGCACGACCTGAAAACCCACGAAGGCAGGGCGCATAAGATCGTTCGGGACAAAGTTGCGGTTCAGCAGGTAGTGCATGGATACAACGGCTTTCCGGTTTGCCGTCACTGCGGTGCCCAGTTCTCCAAATGGGCGAGTCTTGTACGGCACGTGGCCAGGCAAGGGTGTCCTGCTATTGAACGTGGTGAGCTGGAGGCCTATGCTAAATCCCAGAGTGAGCCGGAAGTGCAGCCGCATATTGCAAGACCGATTGTCCGGGACACCATTGTGCAAAAGGGATGGGAAGCTCTGCTCGAACATTGTGATTTATGCGTTGAACTCAAGCAGCGATGTGCCTTGTGCTTTCAGTGGTTTTCATCGGCCAATGCGGTGCGCAAACATCTTCGGGACCAGCATAGTACAGACTTCCGAGCGCATGCAGAGGCCATTGACAAGCAGACAGCACATTGGAAATCGTACATTACATCCCCTTGTCAAGTGTGCTCCTCGGTGATCGTCGATCGCAAGCAACATGCAGGCCAGTGCATCCCTTTGCTTCAGCTGATGCTTATGTCTTGCGTGTTAGTGGGTCATTGCACCTCCCGTGTGGGTCCGGCAGGATCCTCTGAAGCAGGAACAGGAGCTGTGGGCCGATCTGCTTCCCTCTCTGCCAGAGGGGATGGAGGCACTGTCAAAGGCAGCTCAGGAATGGGACATGGAGAAAAGCAAAAGGCGAAGGACCGAGGACAGTCAGGACAATCACGACTCAGCTTCGGCAAACAAGGACAAGAACAACAACAAAGGCAAAGGCAAGGGGAAGGGCAAGGGCAAGGCACACTTGGGCTAGTGGACCACAGCAACTGCGTGCAACTGGACACCAGTTTTCTCATGACCATGAAGAACAAAAAGGGACCAGAGAATTTGCCTCCAGTGATGTACTCGGTGTGGGCCCGCTGGAAAAAGATCCAAGCGGAAACGCCAAGCAAACTGGACAAGCCTCTTCGCAGCAGCATGCTGATTGCGCTCTTGACCGAAATGAAGACGAGGGCCGAGAAGCTGATGAAGGACGACAAGCAGCAGGAACGCCTTCGGAGCTTGGAATGGATCGATGCGGATGGGAGGTGGGTGTATCGCAAATGGTCTCCAACTCAGGAGGCCTTATACTTGGATACCACCCGCAAACCTGTGACACAGGAGGTCTTCGTGGGACAGCTCACCCAGGCCTTGGAACTGCTCGTCAATCCGAACAATCTGACCAGGTTCCAGGCGATGCGCGAGCTCACGCCAGAGATGAAGGGGTACTCGGTGGCATTCGATGTGGCAGTGGGGCTACGGGCGGAAGCGGAGCCTCTCCACCGATTCTTCATGGAGTGGACGGACCTCCAGGCTTGGGCGTTGGGGGCCATTCGCACTCGCCAGCATCGCTTCAAGCGCCCACCGGCAGCCCAGCGCCTCTCAGCATGGCTTGGCAGTCGCTGAGGCTGGCCAATCCCAACAACCAGTGCTACATTAATGCCACCGTGCTTGCATGTGGATTCTGGTTTGCTCCCAAGCTGGCTATGGCAGGTGATAACATGTTTCTGCGAGCATTGGCGTCTTTACAAGGCCTGGGCTTTAGCAAGGAGCATAACATCTTACACTTGTTTGCTTGGAGGCCGCTTTTTGTGGGATGGAGCAGGCCAAGCTCCCAGCATGATGCATCGGAGCTTTTGGTACATCTAACCTGCAAAGGAAGCACTGTTCCTTGGGTCAGCCGCTGGCAAGCTGGTGCATGGCTTGGTGATGCTTTTGAGTTGGAGGACTCTGGGTCAGGGATTATTGCTATGCCGATTCCTGCCGGTTTCTCAGGTGGAGCCGGTGATGAGCGATGCACTCTGAGGGAGTGTGTCGCGACTTGGCACAGCAAGCCTTCACGAATCTGGGCGAACAAAACGTGCTACTCCTGCATTCACGAGTTTGAGACACGTGTCTGCATCGTGCTACAGCGCTTCCAAGTCCTGGATACAACGGTTCAGAAGTGCCAACTGCCGGTGCAGGTCGACGCCGAATGTGATCTGCCAATGTTTCGAGCTGGCTCCATTGCTTGGGTGACCTTCAAGGCCCGTGCTGTTACTTACCACATTGGGGATGCTCCTACATCGGGGCACTATCGCAGCATTCTTTTCCATGATGATGGGACCCAGCTTGTTACAAATGACAAAGTGGAGGGCCAAACGGCCTACAACTCGTGTGCGTAGTCAGAGTAGCAATGGTTGCTATATTATTTACTTGTCCTTGGATGCTTAACGCTGTCTTTTTGCATCGTACTCTCATGTTTGACGGCTCGCTGACACTCGTGTCGGAGCGCCATGCTGGCACTCGTGCCGATGGCAGAATGTGTGCAGAATACCTGTGCACAGTCACATGTGCACAATAGTTGTACATGTAGACCGGGTCTTCAAGGACTTGTTCACGTGCCACCCGCGTGCATGGTAGAGACTACAGCCTCGCCCGCGTTTTCAAAGTCAAAAAAGTCACAGACCGGCTCCAGGGCACGCGACATCCCTTTGCCGGCCCATCTGCCAGCGGATGCTTCTCTGTCTGCCAGGCCACTTCGGAGTGCCGTACACCCGGAGGGTCTTCCGGACCTTGCGGGTACTGATGCTCGCCGTGTGAGACTTGCAAAGGGGCAAAGTCTGTGTCATCGAGAATCCGAGGCGAGCCTGGCTTTGGAGTACCAAGTGGATGAAACCTTGGGTTGCCCGCTTGCATTCCTTGTTTTCTCATGCTTGTATGTATGGATCCGAGCTTAAGAAGGCCACTCGTCTGCTATCCACACACCCTTTGCCGTCTATGCATGCTCTCTGCGACGGGCAGCACGCTCACAAGTCATGGGGCGTCACCCGGAGAGCCGGGCGCTGGGACTTTCAGACCAGTGGGACTGCAGCTTATCCGCCTGCCTTCGAAATATGTGCTTCTTTCAATGCCTTTCCACGGCAGGACGTGGTTTCGGATATCTTTGCAGTAGCTGCAGCTGTGGGCCGACAGCCACGTGGCGTCACTCATCAGGTCGGACCTTCCGAGTTTGGTTCTACTTGTACCATGCGTGTGCCTTTGCAAGTGGCAGTGCCCGAAATCATTGACTCTGCAGCCCCGTGGCCCTTGCAAGGGCTGCCGTCTGGTTCTCGTTTGTTGAGCTCTCGGACGGTGTCACACAATGGGGGTTCAGAGGGCGTCCGCGAGGTGAAGTTTGGCATCTACCGTACCCCAGAAGCTTTTCTTGCTGAGGCGTCCAAGACCCGACATCCCTTCGATGTGCCATCGAACTTCGACATGGGCAACATTCAGGCCATGCAAGTCATCTTGAGTCAAGGAGTGGAAGGCGTCAAAAGGGCAGGGAAGCAGCGCTCCGTCCGGAGGAAGAGGCCCTCAGAGCTACTATGGATCCAGAGGATCGAAAAGTGATGGAAGGCAAGAACTTCCTCCTCTTTCAAGAGATACCCCGCGATATGGTGTGGAGGACCCTCATCTTCTCCGGGACATGACGCAAGGTTTCAGACTCATTGGCCCCCTGGAACCGTCAGGCCAATTTCCTAGGAAGCTCAGGCCGGCTGGTATCGATGTTTCTCACTCTTTTGAAGGCGACGGCCCGATGGTCTAAGCACCTGGTCGAGGCTTCGTGTCGGAGAGCCGTGCAAGACCAGGAGATCGCCAAGGCTGTGTGGTCCGAGACCATGGAGCAAGTGGAGAAGTCCTGGCTCAAAGGACCGTTCAGCTGGGAGGAGATCGACAAGAAATATCAGGGCTGCTGGGTTCCGTCGAAGCGCTTTGGGGTCGCTCAGGCGGACAAGGTGCGGAGCGTGGACGACTTGTCGGAGTTCTGGATTAATGATTAATGCTGCCGTTACTGAGACCGAGAAAATCACGTTGGAGGGGATTGACCATTTAGCTTCCTTGGCACGTTTTTTCATTGGTGCTACAACGGCTGGGGTGTCGTCCTTCAAGCTTCCATCCTCCTCGGGAGAGTGGACCACTGGAAAGGTTCACCCGGATTGGAGAGCCGCGAGGGCCCGGCGTCTTTCGGGCGTGCCCTGGACTTGAAAGCGGCCTACAAGCAGCTCGCTCGCCACCCGGATGACGGGTGGGTGTCGGTGTTGGCCGTTCTTGACCCCAACAAGGATGTGGTTCATTATTTTGAGGCGGTGGCGCTGCCGTTCGGCGCGGTGAGCGCTGTGACCGGGTTTAACCGTACCGCTCGGGCTTTGAGGAAGGTGCTGACCAATCTTTTCTTCCTGATCACTACGAACTTTTACGACGATTACTGCCAAATGGAGTTGGAGCCTTTGCGGGATTCGGCACGCGAGATCGCCGAAGCCGTGCTGGACTTGCTTGGATGGAAGATTGCGCAGGGCATCAAGGCGCTGCCTTTTTCGCAGTCCTTCAACATGCTGGGGGCTTGCATTTCCTTTGAGAACGCTTACAAGGGTGAAGTCGTAGTCCGAAACAAGGAAGGAAGACTTGAAGCCATCGAAGAGGTCGTGAATCAGTGCCTAGCGAAACGCCGGTGTGATCCAAAGGCTATTCTCTCGATCAAGGGCAAGCTGTTATTCGCCGCTGGGAATGTTTTTGGCAAGTGTGCTCAGATTGCAACCCAGCTTATCTCGCAATGTGGGAGCGAGGGCTTTCGCATGGGCCGCGAGAGGACCGACGAGCTTCTGGTTGCACTTCAGTTTGCCTTGAACACTCTCAAATCTTCGGGAGCACGATGCGTTGGTGCCTGGAGTCAGCAGCCCCCGGTCCTTGTGTTCACAGACGGGGCTTGTGAACAGGAGGGCTCTCTTGTGACTCACGGTGCTCTCCTCTACGATCCTGTCTCGGGTCGCAAGGAGGTCTTTGGCGATCATATCCCAGGGTCGCTTGTGGCTGCTTGGAAACGCGGGGGCCCGAAGCAGGTGATTTACTTCGCTGAGATTTTCCCTGTGGTTGTGGCCAAGGCCACTTGGAAGGATGTGATTGCCGGACGTCGAGTCCTCTCTTCTTCCTGGACAACGAGGGAGCCCGCTTTACCTTCATCCGTTCGTACTCTGCTCAGGTGAATGCTACTTCGCTGCTGATGCAGTCTGCTAAACTGGATGTGGAGTCGAGGGCACTGGGATGGTACAGTCGCGTCCCGTCAAAGAGTAATCCGTCTGATGCAGCCTCGCGCCTGGTTTTCGATTCGTACTCCGATTGTCGGCGTGTGGATCCCGTTTACGAAGCCCTACTGCCAGAGGGCATGTGAAGGGGGAGGTGTGGGCTGGCATGGGCCGTTCTTCTGTCGAGATTCATTGGGCATCGGCCTAAAGATTTTGACATTGGCATGCGACGAAGGTCGCAGCTTGCTTGCGCAGTGCTGGAGGTGCTGCAGCTGACCCCCGTTACACGTCAGGGTTTCGCGAACAAAAGAAGGTGAGTGAGTGCGCATCGCTATGTTCTCGGATTGAAGAATTTTATGTCATATATAAATTTTCACTTCAAGCTTTGAGGAAATAAAGATCCTTCTCACACTTGTGTGATATGCTTTTATTTCCTCGCTTGAAAGTTTTGCGAGTTTAGTCTTGCAAACTGGATAAAAAATTATTTTAACAGATTTTCTTCACGACCTGTTTTCACATGTTTTCAACTTGCGGCTTTGTGCAGTGAATGAAATCTCGAATGAACTGCGGCCAGCAAGGCTCTGTGAAAGCACGGTGGCATTTTGACCCACCACTCCCGCCCGTCCACCGTGGGCTGGCATGGGCCGTTCTTCTGTCGAGATTCATTGGGCATCGGCCTAAGAACAACCTCTCCCGAAGGGGGATGTTTTCTTATTTGATTGTTTTCATGTTGGAAAATTGTTTACAATTTTCGGGCGCACTTTTTCCAGTCATGTCTTGCGGGGGTTATTTGCATGACATGATGTTTTCTCACGTTTGCTTTGCCATGCATGTCAGTGGCATTCGCAGTTTTGCTTGCAGGCGTGAGATTTTTTTTTTTGTCGGGCCCTCGAGAGGCTTGTTGCTCTCGTCTAACAGGTTCCGGGCCCCTTACGCAAGGCTTTAGCTCCCCGCGTAGTCGGGGTCCTTCATGGATCGGCGGCGGCTTCAGCGCCCGCCTCCTGCCTTGCGGCGTCTTCTGCTCCTCTGGCTCTGGGAGCGTCTTACACTTCGAGGCTGGCAGTCTGCTATTTTGCGCCCTGACCCGCCAGCCCGCTTGGGCATTCCTCAGTTCTTGGGAGCAGCCTCAGCCGGAGCCCACATTTTGCTCAGCATTGGAGTTGATCGACTGTTTCCTTTGCGGGCTAGTTGCAGAGCTGTGGCTTACATTTTCTGTACGATTGCTGAGCTTGTGCACCGAGCTCGTGGCCGCCTGAGCCGGATCTACCAACGTAGGTGAGCGCTCGCATATTCTGGGGTATGGCGCCACCGCTCGACAGTCTGTTGCTTGCTGCAGACAAACATGTGTCCAAGCATTCCCTCAAGATGCCCTGGGAGCGCGGGGCGATGAGAGCAGTGTTTTCGCAGAGCGACCTGAGTTCACTTTCCCAGTGCAGTGTGCCAGCCAGCCCCTCTGCAGACGGAGCCCCTGGATTCCGCTTCTTTCGAGGAGGCAGCCGCCAAGGCTCACCCCCAAGAGCATGCTTCACAGTTTGTGCAGGTCGCTTTCTCTGCCAGGAAATTTCAGAAGCCCCAAGAAACTGAGGAGCAACAGTTGCAGTTGCTTGCAACGAGATACGATATCCTCTTGAGTCATGCATACGAATGCTCTTCCCTTGGCAGACTGTTGAAGGACAAGTGCGAAACAGATCGGGTCAGTCTTGTTGCCGAAGCCCTGGGTGGCAAGGCTCTCTCGACTTTGAAAAAGCGGTTGTCCAGTCTCGCCCGCCTGGTGGGATGGTGCTCGAACCAAGGCATGTCAGCTTTCCCGATTGACTCTCAGGTGTTGATTGAGTACACCCAGCATTTGCAGCAGAGTGGTGCCTCGCATTCTGTGTTCGGATCTTGCATTGAAGCGTGCAACTTCGCTAGATTCATCTTGGGTGTGGATGCCACTGGTGAGCCTCATAAGCACCCACTTGTGCAAGGGCGACTTCGCAAGGTGCGGTTCAACCGTCCGCCTCGTGTGCAGGCGAGGCCTTTCCAGGTTCGAGAGGTGGCATACCTTGAGGCTTTTGTCCAGGACAGCCGCCGTGATGCAAGGGATAGGTATGCTGCAGGTGCTTGCTTGTTTTGCATTCACTCGCGAGCCCGTGTAGGGGATGTGAGGGCAGTCAAAGCAATGTTCATCGATTTTGCAGAGGGTGAAGGTTTCCTTGAGTGCATCTCGACGTCGCACAAGTGTGCCTCGACAGGTAACCCGTTGGGGCTCGAGTTGAGCCTAGTGGCCCCCGAGCGGGGTGTGGGTCAAGGTCTTTGGGCCAAAGCTTGGGTTGAGGTGTGGCGCCTGTCGGGCCACCCAGTCGCCACCGGATCCTGCAGCCTGCCTTTGCTGCAGTCGCCTATGCTCAATGGGTCTTGGAGTGGTCGCCGGATTCCGACGGGCAGGTTTGTGACCTGGATTTCTTCGATCCTCAAGTCTGGGGATGAGAGCATGGGGTTTGATCTCAAGGGTCATTCGTGCAAGCATACTGCACTGTCGTGGGCAAGCAAGACGGACATGTCCAAGGACTCCTGCACCATCTTGGGGCACCACTCGTTGAAAGATAGACGATCGGTCGTGACCTACTCCAGGGACATTCAAGCTGGGCCATTGCGAGAGCTGTGTCAGATGTACTGTGACATTCGGTGTGGCAGGTATCTCCCAGACATGACCAGGTCGGGTCTTTATGCAAAGGGCCCTGCATCTGCGACTCGGCCGAGGAGATGCCTGGCGACAGCGTGTTCGAGACTGAGGCGGAAAGAAACTGGTACCGGCGGTCAGGCCTGGCTCAGCTTGTGACTCAGAAGCCCTTCCTTGTGCGAATGCTTTTGCTTCCGAGCCTGGCCTCAGCGATCAAAGGGATGCCAGTGACGATGACACCCCTTTCGGTCGCGCTGTGGACTCCCTAATCCATAGTGCAGAGCGTGCTGCGTGGGAAGATCCGGATGCTGCTTTCGAGGACGATAGGTCTCAGGGGGAGGAGCCAGACTCCTCGTCGTCCAGCGAGTCTAGTTCCGATTCAGGCTCGTCCGACAGCGAGATAGATGAAGTCCTGACTGCGAGTCAAGCAGACCCCCCGGTGGGGCAGAGGTATCATGATCGGTGCCCTGTCTATCAGCAGAAGAACACCAGGACTCTTCATCTTAAGCCTGCGGGAAGCTCCATGGAGCGTTTCATATGTGGCCGAGATATCACGGCGAACCATAAGCCGTTCACGTCGGCGGTTCAAGCAGCGCACTGGCGCTGCAAACAATGCTGGAAGGGAAAGCCCATCAGGGACTTAGGGTCCTTGGTGCACTGCCTTGACGAGCGATTGAAGAAGATTCCGAGGACCGAGTAAAAGTCCGTGCTGTGGTGTTTCGGAGTGTGTCCCAATGAGCCTGGAGGCCTCAGGGGTTTTTGTTTGCCTGCATTGTTTTGCCTATGTGAAGCTTGCGCGATACCTTCTTTTGCGATCACTTGCAGGACGGCTCAGAACCTTGCGGGATCATGTGTCATGACGTGCTGGAAATGACCTTGCGGGATTGAATTTTCTATCGAGCTAGAACATGTACACACCTGTTGTCATTGCAGGTCTGAGCGTGTAGGATCCAACTCTGTTCCATGGCGTCCATCCTGAAGAGTCAGGCGGCTTTCGAAGAAAGGGCCAAGGAATGTGGGCTGACGCAAGCTGAGCTTGATGTGCTCGTGCGTAAGGGTTTGACATCCTTGTCGCTCCTTGCCTTCAGTGTCTCGACCCCGGGCGAAGTACCGCAGGAGGCTGAGCTCAGGTCCATCCTTGATCCCGCGGACCCCACGACTGTGCCGTTGCGTGCACTGTCGGCGCTGCGGCGCCTCATGTTTGAGGCTCAAACTCTGTCCATTGCACAGCTTAAAAGCTCGATTGAGGGTGAAGGTGAAAAGAAAGCGGAGTTGGCCCCTGCTGAGAGGACGAATCGTATAACCGATCAGCGGAAAAGGCTCGTGGGGCTCAGCTTGACTGGTCCTTTGGAAAACGCTTTCAGCAATTACACTTATGTCGCCCAGGTCGTTGATCAAGATTGCCTGTCCTATTTGGAGCCCCACAGGTTCCTAACCAGGGCCATGGAGGTGAATCGAGAAAAGCCAGGGAAAGAGTTGATCTTAGATGAGGGCTCGCGCATGAGTATCCGCGACAAGGCCCACAAAGATAAGTGTGGCATTCAGAATGAGTTGCAGCTATCCGAAGCCCTGTGTCGCAGGGCACTTGCTTGCGACCTTCTGCAGCTTTGCACTTTTGCCTCCATGGACTTGTGGCACAGGCATCTGCTTGCCAAGCTATCGGAGCAGCCGCCTCCATACTATGCTAAGGTTTCGATGGAGCAACTGCTCAGGTGCGACAAGGCGGCATGGGTACGCATGAGTGAGCTCTTGACTTCTCTGAAGAAAGATGACGCGGGAAACCTGCCAATGGATGCTGCTCTGGACAAGCTTCAGTACGATCCAAAAATCATGATGCATCTGGCCCCGCTTCCTGGGGCTAAGTGGAAGGGCGATGGAAAGGGCGACAAGGGCACAAAGCGTGATGCCGATGGCAAGCCGAAGTTGCCTCCTCACCGACCCGGTAAAGGTGCAGGTAAGGGAAAGTGTCCTGAAGCGTTATCCGACTCCGGCTTGAAGCACAACTGTAGCAAGACTAAGAAACGCCTGTGTTGGAATTTTAATATGCAGGCTGGATGTAAGTTTGCGAAACCTGGAGAGAGCTGTAAAAGGGCCTGCACATTTGTATGTTCTGCGAGCAGCCTCACTCTCTCCTTCAATGCACGACTTACAAAGTCAACGAGTGACGGGAGGCTGCCGCCGCTGAGGCCGATTCTCTTGTTGATGAGGCGATGAGCCCTTCGGTCTCGCCCCAGGCGGCAAACCACGAGTGCATGATGACACAGATAGATAAGGTGGGCCCGTTGGCATGTCCCAAGCCGGCCGCAGCAGTGCCTGAACGAATCCCGAATGTTGTGATTGATGAGCGAGTTTTTCCCTTGCCCGCTGAGCGGCGAGTGCACGTCTCTTTGCATCCAGCAGAGCAATTTGCGCAAGACGTGCTGTCGTCTGGTGAACCTGTGACAGCATCTTGCATTGAGCGCCTTTTTAGTTTGTTACCCTCTAGACTGGATGAACGCTTTGGCTCAGAGTCTGGCAGATCCTTTGTTGCAGGTGTTTTCCGACATGGGGGCGTCGTTGGCCTCACAAACACCTGTCGCTCTTTTCCTCAATCGGTCATTTTGGCCATCTCTTGGGCCGTGCAGCACGGCGGGCCCAAGTTGACAGATTTCACATTTTGCTCGATTTCCTTGAATCTTAACGTCAAGACTGAGGTTCACCGTGATGTGAACAACGATGATGCTGACAACCTTGTGCTGGGTGTCACCGACTTTTCAGGTGGGCACATATGGGTTCAATCCGAGTCGGGCAGCCATGCACTACCCGTCAATGGTTCCCTGGTCCCTGGGGACTTGTATGATGTTGCAGCGGCCCCAGTGCGGTTCTATGCACGAAAACGTTTGCATTGCACAATGCCTTGGACGGGGGATAGACTAGTCCTCATCCTGTTTTCGGGCGGAGATGCAACTCAGCTGCCCAGCCTTGACTTTGAGCATCTTAAATCCTTAGGGTTTAGGCCCTCGGTCTCCGCGTCAACCGTCAACCCTCCGTTGGCGTATGTCCCACCGCCTGCCGGAGCCTTGGAACCCTTGCTTTCTAAGGTTTCTGATAAAGTCAAAGGAGTGCCTCTTGATAGTCTCATGTTCCTCGATGTGTTCTGTGGTTCGGGGGGCCTCTGTGCTGCTTTGCGTCAGCTGGGCATGAAGCTGAGCGTTGGTTTGGACCGTCATGCACAACGTGGTTGCAAATGTCCCGTTGTCTCCCTGGACCTTACGAAGCCGGGATCCCGAGCCATTCTGCTCGACCTCCTTAGGCAGCCACATGTTGTTGCGTGCCATTTGTCTCCGCCTGTGACCACCAGCTGTGTCGGTTTGGCGGGCCCTCGCCCAAGTGGCCTTCGCAATGCAGCGCATCCTGAGGGTCTGCCAGGTCTTCAAGGTGCTGATCTTGATTTGGTCAATGGGGCTAATGCCCTGTTTGCCATGTGCGCAGAGGTCTGGCATTTCTGTTGGAGTCATGGGGTGTTCTGCTCCATTGCTCACCCCAGCCGATCCATCATGTGGCTCACTGCTTCACTTCGGTCTTGCCAGTCCTCTCCCTTCCTCTCTACTTCTTTGCATCAGTGTATGTTCGGCTCCTACAGACGAAAGGCTACCCGCCTTCTGCACACGGTTCCCTTCCTGCAGAAACTTGGTGTGACGTGTGACGGTGCCCACGCTCACGAGCCGTGGCGCTCTCCGGCGAGCAATCGCGCCAAAGACGCTGGCCTCCCGCCTATGCTGTGCAAATCCTTTGCCCAGGCACTTGTGGATCAGCTGCTTGCATGCGGTGCGCGCGGCCCGGCGTGCTCTCTTGCCAATGCATCCTTGTCGCTCTCGTTGGGCGCCCGTGTGACTACAGCTGCACAACCTTCAGGTCGGAAGATTCCTCCGCTGGTGCCTGAGTTTTCTCGCACAGTCAAAGTGTCGGGCCCAGCCGATCAGCTGCCGTGCACCTCGAAGACCAAGCTGCTATCGGCCTGGACAGTCCCCAAGACTGTCTTCTGCGCACCTTTTCTTTCATCGTTGCCGGCAGGTTCCAAGTGCCTCCGAGCCAGCCCTTATGCTCCACGGGGTATGGCGCCTACCTCGGAGCCAGCCACCTTTGCATCCACATCTGAGCCAACTGCCGGTGCGGAGCCCTGCTCCTCTGCTGCTGGTGCGGAGCCCTGCTCCTCTGCTGCAGGTATTCCTACGATCGTCATGGGTGTGGGTTTAGGTAGTCCCGACTCCCCTAACACCTTGTGCCGACCGGCACCTGCCCTGCCTGAGGCTGTTGAGGGTGTGGTGTTAGGTAGTCCTGATCCCCTGGTTCCGCGGTGCCAGCCGGCCCCTGCCCTACCCTTGCCTGCAGCCAGTGCAGTCAGTGCGACTCCCAATGTCAAGTCGGGGCTTGAATTGCTCTTTGGCATACCGTGGTCACCTTCGGAGTTTGTGGAGCAGGCATGCAATGCGAAGCACCCGCGCTCCCTAGATCAAGGTGTGCCAATTGGCATGTCGGCATGTATTGATCATTTGTGCGAGCACAGCTCGGTCATTGTGGCTAGAGAACGCACGGCTGAACTTCGCAAATGGATGCTTAGGAAGAAAGAGCTTGACGAGAGCTTTGACGGACCCGAACATTGCAAGAAGATCCTAGCTGGGAAACCCTTGAAACTCTTCGGGGAGATGGTCAAAGCTGCTGGGCATGCCGATGCAAACCTGGTACGGGATATACAGAACGGCTTCGACTTGCTTGGTGAAATCCCTTCCTCGTCTGTCTTGCCGAAGAAAACCACCGTGGCATCCCTCAGCATCGAGGACGTAAGAATCGCCACCCCGGCGAATCAGCGTGCGATCTGGGAAGCTACCCGCACCTGCAGGGATCCCGAAATTGCTTCGGAAGTGTATCGCCTTACCTTGGAGGAGCGGGACAAAGGGTGGCTCACTGGACCCTTCTCTCTCGCCGATGTGCCGGAGACTGCCATTGTTACGCGCCGCTTTGGCGTCAGGCAAGGTGTGACGACGACGGCCAACGGTGTAGCGGCAAAGATCCGTCCGATCGATGACTTCACGGAAAGCTTAGCCAACTTGACGTGCACTTGTGCGGAAACAATTGACCCGCACTCAGTGAACGTCATTGTGGCCGGGATCCTGAGGCGGTGCCGGCTGCTACGAAAATCAGGGAAGGACTTTCCGCTTGCTTCTTCGTACGATAGATCTGCGTAAAGCCTATAAGCAACTTCCCTTATCGGAGCGGGCTTTGGGGGATGCTTATATCTGTGTGCTTAACCCGAATACGGGCGAACCTGAACTTTACCAAAGCCAGGTGCTACCCTTTGGCGCTAAGCCATCAGTACAAGGATTCTGTCGTTCTTCGGGGGCAATTTGGAGTGTGGGGCAGGTCCTGCTCCACATCCACTGGAGCGTGTTTTTCGACGATTTTGTAGCAGTCTCCTCTCCGGAGGAAAAGGGCCATCTTGATCTTGTGTTGCGGTCGTACTTTGCCTTGATCGGCTGGGAAACGTCTGACGAAAAAGACGCCGGGTTCAAAAGTGTGGCAAAAGCCTTAGGAGTAGAGTTTAGTTTGGACGAGATCCACTTAGGTCTACTTAGGGTTCAAAACACAGAGGCTAGGAAGCGTGAGCTCGTGTCCACGACCGAGTCCATCGTGCAGCAAGGTGGAGTGCATGCCAAAGAGCTTGAGTGCTTGCGTGGCCGTCTTCAGTTCGCTGAGTCGCAAGTGTTTGGTCGGGGTGCGGCCCAGCGCATGCGAGCTATATCAAAAGCAATGAAGCTCTCGGGCTTTGTAGTTCTCGATGATTCCTTGACCGAGGCCCTGCTCTTCTTGAAAGATCGAGTTTTGCACGGGGAAGCAAGGATGATCAGGGCTTGCGATCGTTCCACCTACCACTTGTTCACAGACGCTTCCTACGAAGCGGATGCGCCAGCCGGCCTAGGAGGCATTCTTTATAGCGATAGGGGTTTGCTCCTTAGGTGGTACTCCGAGTCTGCCGACCCAGACGTTCTGGAGGCCATAAACAAAGAGGGCAAGCAAGGTCTGATCTATGAGTTGGAAGCTTGTGCGGCAGTGCAAGGTGTGGTGCAACTTTGCAACTCTTTGAGTGACTGCAATCTCATTTGCTATTGTGACAATGAGGCCGCCCTCGCGGCCCTCATCAAGTGTGCTTCCGATTCCCCGGTGGTAGCATCGCAGCTCAACAAGCTCAGCATGCTTGAGGATGAGAAAGGAATCAGCATATGGTTTGAGAGAGTGGAGTCATCTGCAAACCCTGCCGATGATCCTTCGCGATTTGTGTTTGGCAAGCTTCCTACCAACTTCAGAGTCCGTTGGGCCCCAGGCGAAGAGCTGTTGTTCTAGCGGCACCTGATCTTGAATGGGGAATGGCATCAGTTGCCCTATCGCTTGCAGGATGTTCGTTTCTTACTTGCGGGATATTGCCGGAAACTTCGTTGCAGGACGATCGTAGTTTTGCCAGTCTTTGTACATCCACGAATGTGGAGCCGGAATCCAACAGTCTGCACCCCTCGCTCTAAAAAAGAAGTCCGAGTGCGATTGCTTCAGTCTGTGAGTGCAGTTCGTGTACATGTACTTCTGCTTTGTTGGTGCGCTTGGAATGAAAACATAACCAAATAAGAACAACCTCTCCCGAAGGGGGATGTTTTCTTATTTGATTGTTTTCATGTTGGAAAATTGTTTACAATTTTCGGGCGCACTTTTTCCAGTCATGTCTTGCGGGGGTTATTTGCATGACATGATGTTTTCTCACGTTTGCTTTGCCATGCATGTCAGTGGCATTCGCAGTTTTGCTTGCAGGCGTGAGAAAATTTTTTTTGTCCCACCCGCCCACCCCTCGGGGGAATGGCATCAGTTGCCCTATCGCTTGCAGGATGTTCGTTTCTCACTTGCGGGATATTGCCGGAAACTTCGTTGCAGGACGATCGTAGTTTTGCCAGTCTTTGTACATCCACGAATGTGGAGCCGGAATCCAACAGTCTGCACCCCTCGCTCTAAAAAAGAAGTCCGAGTGCGATTGCTTCAGTCTGTGAGTGCAGTTCGTGTACATGTACTTCTGCTTTGTTGGTGCGCTTGGAATGAAAACATAACCAAATAAAGATTTTGACGTTGGAATGCGACGAAGGTCGCAGCTTGCTTGCGCAGTGCTGGAGGTGCTGCAGCTGACCCCCGTTACACGTCAGGGTTTCGCGAACAAAAGAAGGTGAGTGAGTGCGCATCGCTATGTTCTCGGATTGAAGAATTTTATGTTATATATAAACTTTCACTTCAAGCTTTGAGGAAATATAATCGAGAGAACTCCAGTTGACGGGTCATTGACCTTGATCCTCCGATGAGGCTTCTTGACGCCTCTCGCCTCATAGCCAGCAAGTCCATGGCAAATGGCTGCGGCTTGGGACCCATGGCTTTCTCCTAAGTCGGTCCCCAACCACTCCGAAATCCCTGAACAAATCTCCGTCCCTGTCTGGCTCCTCGCGCTGCTCGTCGGCTTCGGTCGCCGTGCACTCAGGATCAGAAGGTTTAGGGTCGGGTGATCCGGCTGGACCAAGTTGGGATTTGGGCTTAGGGTCCTTTATTAAGGTTGGGTGATCCGGCTGGACCTTGACTGGAATCAGGTGTAGGGTCCTTCGGGTCGGGTGATCCGGCTGGACCTTGGGTCAAGGACTTAACCTTAAGACGACTACCGCTACTAGGCAACCGAAAACCGAGGTCCTTCAGGGTGTCTAGGTCAGCATTGGACACCTTGTCCCAGCTCCGATCTCCGCAACTCTAGAGCCCGTGTAAGGTCCGTTCCGAAGCTTCTGGCCCCAAAACGTAACGACCTGTCCTCCAGCGGTTGCGTGCAATGTACCCAGCTTGGGTGGCCCATCTGAAGACACAGCCCTCAGCTCGGTTCCATTCTCGTCTTCAATCCACAATTCACCTACACAGTGCTTGGTGAGACCAATGAGGGTGGTTTGATTGTTGTGGTCGTTGGGATCCTTATGCGGCCTGAAAACACAGTCACGTGAAACCACAACCGAAAGGAAATGATTGGAAGTGTTTGCTTTCATGCACTTCACTAAAACCCTCGTAAGATAAGGATGCTGTCGGGTCAACGACGTAATCCCCCTCAAGCCCCCATTAACCCACGCTCCAAACACTCAAAGGAAACCTTTTCTTGAGTGCCCTCTATCTTGTTCATGCGATTTGAGACTGTAGGCTTCAGGTCTGCACGATTGAATGCCTCCAGTACATCAGCATACGTAAGACAGCTCTTGTCAAGCAGGTTGTTCGCAAACACCTCACCTGGATGCTCAGCTGATACTGCCTGAACTGCTGTCTCCTCCTGAGCATTGATCACATGATCAAGATCCGTCCAACTCAGGATTTTGCACACTTCTGAAGATGACTCAGCGTCGCAGCAACTCGCGATGTGTGCTGTTTTTTCAATGTTGGGTCATCAAGGGTCTAAGCTTAAGGAAGGTATTACGGGTCATAAAAGGCAGTCCATTCACCTCGCGCAGCAGCACGGTGTCACCTCCGATTTCGGATGGAAGGTGCAGTCTGGGTCCTTCGATGTTGTCCCATTCGAACTTGCATCCAACCTGAACTAGCCTATTGACCCCGCAGATTATCTCCCCATTCTCAACCCCGACAACCACCGCCTCACCTTCCTTAGTCCTGAATGCGTCAATAGAAGATCCATTTGCTAAAGTCAGTGGAAGTGGCTGTGATCTCGATGGTCTGCTCTCTTGCTGTCTGAGGATTTCATTTGCACCGGAATCCAACAGGACCCCTTTGTCACTGGACACATGATGCGTAGCACTGTGAGCTTGATTGATTTCACCTCCGCCATAGCCTGGAGGGGGAGGAACCGTTGGTGCTCTAGCCCCTGGGGCTCCTCTGGGCGCCTCGACAGTGATGGGCCCATCACGGCCTACTCGGATAAGCGCACAAACCCAACAAGATATTCCGTTCAACCTTCCGGTCATGAACACATACTGCGTATCCCTCAGTAAACACCCTAGGTCCAGTCTGCCCGAACTTTCTTGGTGTGTGATGGACTGACCGTAACCAATGTCAATTGGTTCATGTTGCCATGCATTGCGCTGTCGAACCCACATCAAGGTCCTCCAAGCTCTCATCTCACCCCGAGAGATTACCTTGAGAGTCAAGCAGCTGATCGCGCAGACTTGGAAATGTCAGGTTCAAGGATTCTTGACGCGGAGTGCAGATGCAGAGATCAAGGATGGCGATGAGGTCATCAAGAAAGTCGATGAGATCACTTTCTTGGGAACACAGGTTTCTCTTCATGAAGATGGGGTTCACGCTTCCCAACCAAAGTGGCTGGTGAGAGAACTGCATCGGAGAGGATTCGTCCATCTTCGAGGCAGTGAAACCTTGCCAAATGTGGACATGACGCAGATTCCTTTGATGCCGAAGGATGCGCCGGGTTTCGCGGACTTGTTGAAGAAGCTTGCGTTGGAATCCTTGCTTCATTGCAGACTTGGAATCCTGAATGGGTACTTAATGCTTCAAAGGGAGTTTGGCGATACTTGAGAGCGACGGTGTGGTCCGAAATGATTCACCATGAAGGAGGCTCCTTGGACATCTATGCCGAGTCAGATGCTAGTCTTGCTCCGTCGGGTTCTAGATCTAGGAATCTAGGACAGGGGTGGTTATTAGTGTAGGTGTAGGCCAGAACATTGTCTTCTGGAAATCCTGTCGGCAGAATCTCACAGCGTATTCGACTTGTGAAGCCGGAACCGATGCATGCGCGACTACGCTTTATGAAGCCGGCAGAATAGCGGGGATGATCGAAGCGATTACAGGATACACCCCCAAGATGGTCCTGGTCCGAGATAATGCGGCAGCCGTGACGGCCATTACCAAGCCGGACTTTAACCCACTAACCTGGAGAACAAGGCATTTCGCTATGAAGTGTGGGTGCGGGACATGGTGCAACGCGGCTACAGGGATGCAAGCATGTCTGAAATATTGTGTGAGTGGAAGTCTGGAGCCGAGCTTACAGCAGATGCTCTCACAAAGATATTGCCTAAGCAACGGCTTGAGAAACTTCGAGGGCGGCTCGGAGTGCATGTGCGCCGGCTAGGGCGATGAGCTTTTCAGCGAGCGCCAGATTTTCGTCAAGGCGCAAATGCGATCATGTGGCACGGGGGACGAAGCTCCAGCACCACGAAATCGTGGA